TGAGTGAGAGAGGTGAGGGGAGTGTGAGTGGGGGGTGAGTGAGGGGTGCGAGTGATGAGATGGAGCCAGGGTGTGTGAACAAGTGATGGAGGGTGAGGGATGGTGGAGGGGAGTGTGAGTGAGTGTGAGCGAGGCGTGAGTGATGGTGAACGCGAGTGTGAGCGAGGCGGGTGTGAGTGAGGCGCAAATGATGGTGTGAGCAAGGTGTGAGTGATGGTGTGAGTGTGAGCAAGGGGAGTGTGAGTGATGGTGAGTGTGAGCAAGAGGAGTGTGAGTGATGGTGAGTGTGAGCAAGGCGTGAGTGATGGTAGGTGCGAGTGTGAGTGTGAGCAAGGCGAGTTGTGAGCGAGTGAGTGTGAGTGAGTGTGAGCAAGGCAAGTGCGAGGCAAGTATGAGCAAGGTGAGTAGTGAGTGAGTGTGAGCAAGTGAGTGTGAGTGGGGTGGGTGTGAGCGAGATGTGAGGGATGGTGAATGTAAATGTGAGCGAGGCAGATGTGAGTGAAGTGTGAGCGGGGTGTGAGTGAGTGTGAACGATGGTGTGAGTGAGGGGACTGAGTGACTGTGAGTGGGACCCAGATGTGAGTGATGGTGAGGGGGAGTGTGAGGTGAGTGTGAGTGAGGCATGAGTGATGGTGAGTGTGCGGGTGTGAACGATGGTGAGTGTGAGTGCAGGTGCGAGTGCAGGGTGAGCAGGTGGGTGTCAGTGTGAGTGGACGAGTGAGTGTGAGTGAGCACAGGCTGAGTGTGGGTGTGAGCAGGGGACGCTGGCTGTGCGGTGTGAGGGTGTTGCTAAGAGTGAGGGGTGTGCAGGTCAGGCGGAAGGGGGACCACAGGCGTGTGTGTGTGTAAGGATGCGAGTGTGCGTCAAGAGTGTGAGTGTGCGTGAGTGCGGGGGTCAACCAGGAGAGTGTGGGTGTGGGTCAGCCAACTGAGTGTGAGTGTGTGTGTGAGTCAGCCAGGCAAGTGTGAGTGTGCATTGGTGCTTTGTGTGCACGAGTGCAGACGTGTGTGAGTGTGGGTCAGCTGGGTAGTACGGGTGTACGTGAGTGCGGGTGTGCTTGAGTGAGCCTGTCGAGTGCGAGTGTGTGTGAGTGCAGATGTGTGTGTGAGTCAGCCACGCGAGTGCAGCTGTGCATCAGTGCGGGTGTGCATGAGTGCAGGTGTGTGTGAGGGTGCGCGGGTGAGTGCGGGTGTGCCTTGGCCAGGTGAGTGCGTGTAGCTGTGACTGTTGGCCACCGAGGGAGCTCGTGAGTGCGCCTGTTGGCTACCGCAGGGATGTGAGCGCCGGGCGTGAGCTGGAGGGAGCGGGTGAGTGTGAGTGTGCACGAGGCCCCGGGGGAGTGAGTGTCCGCGTGTGAGCGGGGCTGTGACAGTGGGGCGCGCGGGGGACACGCAGACAAGGCTGTGAGCCCGCAGGGTGTGCCCGAGCCGCAGGGCGTCAGCGTGCTCAGGGGTGTGAAGGGCTGCGGGTGTGCCTGGGTGTTTGCAGGGCTGTGGCTGTGCGGGTGTGACTGTGCCAGGGCGTGTGTAGGGTGTGGGTGTGCGGGTGTGAGCGCGCCCAGGTGTGTGCAGGCTGCGAGGGTGTGCGGCTGTGGGTGTACAAGGGTGAGGGTGCCTGGTGTGTGCGTGGCTGTGGGTGTGCAGGTCCAGGTGTGAGCGGGCACAGGTGTGTGTGGGTGTGCATGATTGTGGGTGTGCAGGTGTGGATGTGAGTGTGACGTGCACAGCTGTGTGCGGGTGTGAGTGTGCCTGGGTGTGTGTGGATGTGACATGCACCGGTATATGCGGGTGTGACATGCCCGTGTGTGTGCAGGTCCAGGTGTGACATGCACAGGTGTGTACGGGTGCGCGTGTGTATGGTTGTGGGTGTGCAGGTCCAGGTATGAGTGTGACATGTCCAGGTGTGTGCAGGTGCAGGTGTGATGTGCACGGGTGTACGTGTGTGTGGGTGCAGGTGTGGGTGTAACATGCACAGGTGTGTGTCGGTGTGACATGTCCAGGTGTGTGCACATGCGGCTGTGACATGCTCGGGCGTGCCGTGGAGCGGCTGTGTTTGCAGCGGTTGGGCAGAAGGGGGTTGTAGCAGGGGACAGGAGGCAGCAGGAGGTGTCACAGGCCCCTTGGAGGAGTTGGGATGAGGGAGACCCCCGTGGGCTGCGTTGCCTCCGTCGCGGAGGTTTGGGCTCGGGCGGTGGTTGTTAACAAGCCCCTTCTGGCGCTTTTGTCCCTGTCACCCCCTCGCTGCCCTCCCGCCGCAGCCACTTCCCTCCTCCTCGGAGGCCGTCAGGTTGTTGGAGCTGCCCCAGGTTGTGGGGGCGGCATCGAGGCCTGGCCCGCGTGCCCGGAATTCCCGCCAGTGCCACCGTCCCCCGCTGCCTCCGTGGTCCCTGAGTGCCACCAAGGCCTCCCGCAGCCCCAAAGTGGGCGATGAGGCCCAGAGCCCTTCCTGCTGGGAAAAGGGAATGCCAGGACCTGGAGCAGGGGATCCTGGAGCAGCTTGTCCCCTGGGCCTGGCCAAACACGTCCCCCTGCGCGTTCCCTGCGGGTGGCAGGTTGAGGGCGGGAAGGGCAGGAGGTTGGAGCAGCCCCGGGATGCTCCCATGGCGGCGAGGAACAAAACTGGGGTTGGTGCAGAGCACGCAGGGCTTTTCCCTTCCTTCCTTCTTTATTTTCTGTCTCGTCCCCAGCTCTTCAGGCTCAGAACTCCCCCGCGGCGGGCCAGGCTGACGGGCTCGGCCGCCCGCGTCCCCAGGCCCGCGTGGGAGGCCGC